TTATGGAAGCAGAATAAACTCTATAAAATTTTGAACAAATGAGAGTTGAAAGTTTTATACCCCTTACCCAGTTTTGCCCTCTATGCATCTCTTCAATATGGCTGTTCCTGAGTTATATCCTTTTATAGTAAACCATTAATTTAGTAAGTAAAATGTTTCCCTGAGTTCTGTGAGCTGCTCTAGCAAATTGATCAACCTCAAGTAGGGGGTCTTTGAAATCTCAGATTTATAGCCAGTTGGTCAGAAGCGCAGGTGACACATCTGGTGTTGTGATTTCCATCTGAAGGAGGAAGCAATCTCGTAGGACTGAGCCCTCAACCTGTGGGAGCTGATGCTGTCTCCAGGTAGATAGTGCCATAATTGAGTTGTAGAAGTGCTTGGTGTGAACCACATTGGACCTGGTATCAGAATTGTAGGGGGCATTCACTGTTTACTTGGCTCTGGGGGCATGGCAGGGAATATTGTGAGCTGTTCTTATTCAGCACACTAAAGTCCAAGGGCAGCAGCTGTCTTTTCAATACTTTTGCCAGCTCCCCCCACTGGATATATACCACGTCTTTGGAATGAAAGTTGTCCATATGGGGTCTGGCTAACAACTGAACAAGCCACAGGACCTAGTTGGGCATCATTTCTGTGAAGCTGTTGCCAGGCCACATGCTAGCAGCTGATCAAGGAGGACCTTCCAAGATGCTTGTGTGAGCCCTCAGTGCAGGGTTAGATCAACCCTTGTGATGTGGCATGTTTGCAGATGGGGCCAGGCATACCCGAATTCTTTCATGCTTTAATAAATTTTAGTTGCCATTGGTGTGTACTAGAACTTACTGGACAAAATAAAGAGAAAGTGTTTCATGGCTTGTACTGGGGTACATTATTTCTCTGTGTTTTATCTCAGTTCTGCCCATAACAGAGAGGAGATTACCGTCATCCCAAATTTAAAGTTTGGGAACTGCCTGGGTGTCCAGGTCTACATCTGCTCACAGTGCCTTACCTTCTGTGGCCTCAGCATCTCAGCCACAGGTAGAGAACAACAAATTCCTATTCCCCAAAGTCTGAGCTGCATGTCAAGTCAGTGACTTCCTGAAAGTCATAAATAACCTTTAATTAATTAATTAATTAATTCCATAAATATTTATTGACTACCTCTTATGTGCCCATTAAGAGAAACAGGAAAGAGATTCAGTCCTTGTTCTCAAGTTCTTTTCAGACTTCAGATGCACACACACATGTGTCACAGGTGCTGTGATAGAAATATCTAGAGGGCAGCATGGAACATGAGAAATTGGACCCTACCCTGGGACCCTGCACTGGGAAAAAAATCTGAATCCCGCTGGGTGAGGTTGTAGAAATTTGTCATGCATTAACTGATTCGACGTATTATTTACTGAATGCTCACAACATGCCAGACTGAGAACTTGGTCATAAATGCACAGCCAAGGTCACACTGCTCAGAACTGATGTTCTGACTGTGGCTGGGCAAGGGGTAGGGGAGACATTATTTAAAAAGTCATTTATTCATGGGTTTTATTGTGTATCCTGTATGTGTCAGGCAGGGTGTTAGATGCTGGGATTATAAAAACAAATGAGACACAGTCCCTGTCCCTAAGGGCGTTTCAGCCCAAGGGAGTAGCCTGTGGAAGGCAGAGAGCAAGTGGAAGGGCAGTGTTTGGGGAAAATCCAGTTCAGTAGAGTTGCAAGCGCAGGGAGTGGTGAAAAACTGGCTCCCTCTTAGTTATGACACTCATCCCTGGGAAATCTGAGGCAGAGTCCTTCCTGGAAACTTCATCACCTAAATCCCCTAAATCCCCCAGAAGTATTTATTGAAGCAGACATTTAAGAACAAGCTCTGGGTACTGGGTGTACATAAAATAGCTTCATCCAGCCTAAGGTGTGGCTCTACTTGCCTAAAATACAGACCAAGAACAAGAATTTTTGACACTCCAAGTTCTTTCTTTTCCTTTCCTTTCCTTTCCTTTCCTTTCCTTTCCTTTCCTTTCCTTTCCTTTCCTTTCCTTTCCTTTCCTTTCCTTTCCTTTCCTTTCCTTTCCTTTCCTTTCCTTTCCTTTCCTTTCCTTTCCTTTCCTTTCCTTTCCTTTCCTTTCTTTTCTTCCCTCTCCTTCTTCCTTCCTTCCTTTCTTTTCTTCCTACCTAATCCATTCCCAGAAACTGTTGGTCCTGGAAATATCAAAGTGAGCCTACAATTAGGATCTGCCCTTTGAGGTGTGGTAAGAAACTAATTGGTTAATGTTTGCAAAATGCCAGAACATTCTTGAATAAAAGACCTTATATAAGTTCAAAGTATTTGTAATTATTATGATCATTACTATAATTTGTAAGACTATAATATGAAAAGACAATAAATCTTTTCATAATAGGATGAAGTCAACACTTTTAAAAAGACAAAGCAGGACAGGGACTGTATATAAGCTTTGGTGGCCTGCCTACCTCTGAGGACAACAGCTAAGGGAAGACAGGTGAGTGTGAACAGAGCTGTGAAATTGATGCTTAGGCTTATCTAGGGTGAAAAATCCTGTCTATGGTGATTGATTGATAATTACTGTGTCTCTGCTGTTCAGGAAACAAGAGAAGTAGAAATCAGATAAAACTAAAGGAACTGGCAAAGAAAACCTAAGTTACAAAAGATTATGTACATACTAGAATAATTTTTCCTGTTCATTAAAATATGTAAACAAATTTTAATTTATTTTAATGTAAGTATATACTTTTGGATTTGTGAACATTTGCAAAACAAAGAACAGGAGAACAGAAATGAGTGTACATTTAACAAAAGCTCTACAGGCTGAATGGATGTCTTTTTTGTTCATTCAAAGCCAAAGAATAGAGGTGTTTGTATTTTGCCAGGGAGTAATCTCTTCTCCTCTCTTATGCTCACTGATGCCAAGGTTACCTTAACCACATAAACCTCAAGTGGTGGTACAATAACAGAGTCCTGTTTTTTCTGGAAACTGCGAAAGAACTAAGGCCAATATGTCTAACAGATTAACCATGATAGAGTAAAAGGATAGACAAGCTTCAGCAGACCTGGATGGAATAGAGAGGTCGTGGTCTCTGTGATTTAATCTTTGTTCAGAATGGGATATTCCTGGGAGAGTCCTTAGCACCAGGAGAGAAGCCTTTCTGGTGTTCTCAGCTCTGGGAATTCCAAATGGTAAAGTGAGGAAAGCAGGCCCAGGGGCCACCCAGATGGAAGGCTCGCTCTTCTAGATCTCTCTGGACAAGGAAAGGATTTGCCCGCAGAGTGTGAAGACACACAATCAATCAATCCTCTGAGCTTTCCTGGGCTAATAATCATTGCTAACAGAGCAGAACGAGCTAACATTTCGAGTTCCTGTATATTTTTGGTGTCGAGACTCAGCATGACTATTTCTGCTTAACTGAGGGAAATCAGGTGGACCATCTCAATGTGGTGGGGAAGAAAAACAAAATGGCTGTGTCTGAGGACACACGCTCCCTTGGTGTAAGAACACTTCACTCAAATGTCTTCCTTACCACCTCTTTTTCACCTTTTTTTTTAATTTAAGATTTTTCAATTATAGTTAGCATTCAATACATGTTAGTTTCAGGTGTACAATATAGTGGTTAGACTTCTGAAGTGATTCCCCAATAAGTTTGAGACTCACCTCAAAAACTCTTTTTGTCTTGAGATGTAATCTATTTCTTGGTGTTTGGAAAGAACCACCCATAAGAACAACCTTGAAACAAGAGATGAGAAGAGCATTATGAAAGTGATGAATGCCATATTTAAATGCACACTCCTACCTATAATGATAGTTATAATTCAAAATGATAGGTAGCCAGGCTTAGCCAACTAAGGGAGGTGATGGGAACACCCTACAGTGAGAGGAGCTGCTGGGAGATGGAGGATTTGGGAGCATATGGCCTGTTCCTCCAGTATTCCCTGGGGTCAACTGCAAACTATGCTCAGTGGCATTTGTGTATTTGCTTGCTAGCAAGTGGGGGAATCAAGGCTCTTTGGACACATAGAAGATGATTAGAGGAATGGTTGGGAAGAAAGAGAGTGCACGAGAGCAAGTGTGAGAGCAGGTGCTTGATGGTGACCAGTGTCAGTTCTCCCCTAGAATGAGCACCTTATGAGTTTAGTCCTAGACCCCTGCCATGACCCACTTTCAAGAGAATTTGACTTTGCTGATGGAAGTAGCCTGCCTCTCCATCCCCCCACCTTGGGCTCTGGTCCAGGTTTTTTCCTGCCAGGGAATTTGACAGAAGAGTAATGGGGAACATGGCTCGAGGTTGCCAAGGGGGTCTAAGCTCTCAGGCTGGGAGCTTAGAGCAGTAGTCAGTGTCTTCCAGCTCCTTCCAACAACCAAAGCAAAGTATGTGTTCCACGACACTTAGGAAAACATAATCTTTCCTCTAAACATGAACACAGTTTTCTCCTTGTTGTATTATCTTTTGACAACAAAGAAACTATTGGGATAGAAACTTTCTTTTCAGGATCTGGAGTCAGGTAATTGTGTTTCTCAGTGTTGACAACCAAAGTATCTTGGCTTCCTCTTTTAAAATTTAAAAAATATTTATTGATGAGTGAGGGAGAGGAACATTAATTTGTTGCTCCACTTATTTATGCATTCATTGGTTGACTCCTGCTTGTGCCCTGACTGGGGGATTAAACCTGCAACCTTGGCATAGCGGGATAACAGCACTCTAACTAACCAAGCCACCTGGCCAAGGCCATCTTGGCTTCTTAAAACAATTAGAGTCCCTGTGGCCAAGCAGGAGTCTTGCCATTTTAAGCTAATTGAAAGGATGGATGGAACGCAGATTTGGCTTTTGCTTTTTTCATTATGATTCAAATAATTTTCTTAGTTCAGACATAGGGAAAGTTGTTCTCTCTCTCTCTTTTTTATATACCTTTCCATATAAACATTATATATTGTTATGATGACAACTGACATTTTCACAACTTTGAGCTAATTTGTATTTTAAAATCACTTTAGGACCCGGAAAGTAGGATCATCAGTATGTCTGTGCTGTGGCTGCTGCTGGGCCTCCTTGCCCTTACTGGTGAGTGCATTTCATTTTTTCCAAATGACCTTGGAGTTGGGAAGGATGAGGAAAGAATTAGAATGGTACTTCTCATATGTAAAAGTGCAGTGCAAAACGTTGTTTTTTCCTAAGCTGTTTGCTAAATCCTGGAGTTAGTAACAGTGCTGGTAAGCAGCCCCTTCTGAGTGTCCCACAGAAGGAGGGACTTCTCCCCAGTGCTGGGTGGGCTTAAAACAGAATTGCCTGATACTGCTCATTGTTTCTCTATAAAAACTCTTTCATCAAAAGTATGTGTTGAATTTATTAATAGAGTGTATATCTCCATAGAATGATGGAGGCGGCTTACATAATGAAACTAATGTAATTCAGTAGAAAACTAGCATGCAGGGGACCAAGGAGATGTGACTAAGCTAACCACTGAGACTGATACCGTTGAATGCTTGAATTTCAGATTTGGTCCTGTTTCCTTGTAGCCGGAGCAAAAAAGGAAAAGTACATAAATAAAGGGAGGAAGTATAGTTCCTCAAGAGAAGCAAAAGCTTTTTCCTGGCTCTAAATTCTAAAAACTTCTCAGATGGGGGTCAGTCTTATATTCATTCATTTATTTGTTGACCCACTCAGTCAACAAATATTTTTAAATTCTTGTAAGGAGTTTTGGGGATATAAAGAACTTTGAGGAACATGTATGTGGTTTGGGAGTGAATAGAAGGCAGGGAGCAATGAATTACACAACCAGTTACTATTAAGGGTATTTGTCACCAATTATAAAAATAGAGTTTCCTAGTTAAAAAGCTAAAAGGACACACTGGCTCATTTAACTTTTAGTATTCTCATAAAAGACCAAGTAATTTCATTTTTTTGTTTCTCTTAGATTACTCATCAAAAGTTTTTAAAATACTCCAAAATACTAGTATCTTCAGACGTTAACCCCATGAAGTTCTTCGTAAGAAAAGAGAACTTTGTTTAGTAAACATGCAGTACACATATGAGAATAAGCAATAGGCATATTTCCAAGGACCTGCAAATCATTAAGATTTAATGAGATAATCTACTTTTGTCAAACAATAAGCAAATTGAAAAGAGTAATAAGGTGAGAAGTCCTTACAGGCTTGTAATAGTGAGATGATGCTTTCAAGGGGCAATTTCCTGCCACCTGTAGTATCTTGTTATTGGTGTGTATGCCCTCTTTCTGGTGGAAGTGATAAATACTTGGGAATGTCCTCTTTAGTGGACTTTGTGGAATCCCAACAGTGTGTAAAACCTCTCCTTCCCCTTAGTGCTGGAAATGACAGTGGTAGTTAGAGAGAAAATGAAGAGCAAAGAGAGAAAGGGGAGAAGTGGAAAGAGGGAGCCCCACTTGGAAACCTGGCCCTGTACCTCACCACATGCCCTTCCACTCTTTGCAGTCCTAAACACCCATGCAGATGTGCACTGAGAGCAGGGGAAGCCAGCTCCATGTCACAGTTTACCAGCAGTCCCTGTTCTTGGGGTCTGGGCTGAGATCCCAGGGAGGCCCAGGCTTTTCTCCAGAACAGATGTGTTTCTCCAGAACAGATCTAAGCATCATATCAGACAAATGAGTTAGAGGTATTGGAGGGAGACGTGCTGAGAGATCACATAAAATGGATGATGAGAACTAGCCCACAGGGAACACAGTTGCTGATTTGACTTCAGCACACCCATTCTACAGCATTGGGCATCTCCAGAGCTTTGCAATGAATAGAACTGCTCCAACAGTTCCTTGTGTCTGCAAGTTATGAGGTGAGAATTTAGTATTTAGGAAGTTCTATAGTAATTTCTTAGTCACTATACCTCAGACAAAGGTTTAATCTCCAAAATATACAAAGAACTTACACAACTCCACTCTAAGAAGATATTTAACCCAATTAAAAAATGGGAAAAGGACTTGAGCAGACACTTCTCCAAGGAGGACATACAAAACATCCAGAGACACATGAAGAGATGCTCAATATCGTTAGCTATCAGAGAGATGCAAATTAAAACCACAATGAGATACCACTTTACACCAGTCAGGATGGCTATCATAAACAAAGCAACAAACAACGAATGTTGGAGAGGTTGTGGGGAAAAGGGGACCTTAGTTCACTGTTGGTGGGATTGCAGACTGGTACAACCATTATGGAAAACAATATGGAATTTTCTCAGAAAAATAAAAATTGACCTGCCTTTTGACCCAGCAATTCCACTGCTAGGATTATATCCTAAGAACCCTAAAACATCAATTTCAAAGAACCTATGCACTACAATGTTCATAGCAGCACAATTTACAATAGCCAAGAGCTGGAAGCAACCTAGGTGCCTGTCAGTAAATGAATGGATCGAAAAATTGTGGTACATATACACAATGGAATTCTATGCAGCAGAGAGAAAGAAGGAGCTACTACCCTTTGCAACAACATGGATGGAACTGGAAAGCATTATGCTGAGTGAAATAGGCCATGTGTTGAAAGACAAATACCATATGATCTTACCTTTAACAGGAAGCTAAACAACAAAACAAAGCAAGCAGAATAAAAACAAAGACACTGAAATAGAGAACAAGGGGACAGTGACCAGAGGGGAGAGGGAAGGGAATTTAAGGGGGAAAAAGGGGAGGGATTTGGAGGAACAAATAGGAAGGACACAGGAATGAGAACTAAGGGGGGTGGAAATGGGAGGGAGGTGGGGAGCACGGGGTGGGGGGGGCTGGGATGGGAGAAATAGACAAAAAACTGTACTTGAAAAATAAATAAAAATTTTTTTAAAAGAATAAAAATGTTAACAAATAAATTTCAAAAGGGTTTCCATTGCAGAGTGAAGTTTTTATTATTGATTTCAGTATAGTTATGTTTATTCATGTCACTTCATTCATGGGCAGAAGGGTGACCAAAACTATTCTAGTTCAATATCTCAGGTTGAAATTTTCTCAATTTGTAGACTCATCTGAAAGTGGCAGCTGGGGATGCTATGGAAACATCCGAACCCTCGATACTCCTGGGGCATCTTGTGGGATTGGAAGACGCCGAGGCCTGAACTATTGTGGTAGCTAGGATCTCATTGTCCACCTTCTCCTCCTTCTCCTCTTCCTTTCTCTCTGAAGGTGACTCTGTTAGGCATGGGTGACTTCAACAGGATTTGTCCCTGCCCTTGATACCCCACACCTATGTCTCCCAGTCATTTCCAACAGGTTTTGATCTTCAACATACCATTTTGGTTTCCACTGTTTCCCACAGTCCCACACTATGAAATGGTAGAAAGAGCACTGGTCATGGAGTCCAAAGACCTCGTTTAGTGCTGCTTCTGCTTCTTCAAGTCACTTAGCTTCCCTGAACTCTGCTGAGATTGGGATAATAGTACTTACTTTACAGTGTTGTTGCAAACTCTGGTCAGTAATGTGAATGACAGTGCTTTTGAACCCATAAAAGTGCTTAGAAGGTTAAGTGGGTTAGCCAGGTATGTTGGGATTGGTTTTCACTTTGCTCAGCATTCTTTGTATTTCATAAAGGTTAAGCACACATGATTTCTAGGAGTCACTGTAGGGTGGAAAGGTGGGCAAGAGTGAGCACGCCTGTCAAAGAAGCTTTCCAAAAACTTCAGGAAGGGTTTGGGAGAATTTCTTCACATCAGGTGTTTGTTGTAGCTGCTGGACATGTATTTTACTGGGTAGCTGTTTGGGTGCTTAGGATGGGGCCAGTGGGGACTGTGCCCATGCCATTTTCCTGGGAGGACACAAGTTCCTTGGCTCAGGGAGAACTGGTATCCACGAAGGACATGTCTCAGGGGATGCCAACCCAAGCTCCAAGGAAGAGAATCACAATCTCAGTTCTAGGAATGGCCACAAGAAATTTCAGACCCAAGCATGGGCTTCTCAGTCCTCAACAGCTGCCCAGAACCTTGGAGTATATTTTCTCTCTCCTTTTGAGCTCCCATTTCAGTGTAAGTCATACCAAGCCACACTTTTTCCTTCTGTATTTGCTTTAGGAGTTCGTGCCTCTGAAAGGCTGGCCGAAATAGATATGCCACACCTACTGAGATTTCAACCCATCATACGTACTGTTGGCCAAAAGTACTGTGTGGATCCTGCAGTGATCGCTGGTGTCGTGTCCAGGGAGTCTCCTGCTGGCAACATTCTTGTCAATGCTGGCAATGTGGGCAATGGAGTCAGGGTGGTACAGGTAACCCTCCATGTGGCCATTGAGCCCAGTTGTGTGGGGCACAACTCCAAAGGACCCCATCACATTTGTTGTGTGGATGGTACCCCTGGGGAATAGCCCCCTTCAGGAGAGTGAATGGGCTCCCTGGAGTGGTGAGAGCCAAGTTCTGCCTGTGAGAGGTGAGCAGCTCTGTTTTGGCTTCATCTTGAGGCGCAATTCCTTTTCAGAGTAAATTATGCTGTTTCCAGGATATCATCATTGTCACCCTGTCATCCAGGAGAAATATCACAGATTGAATCTTTGCTCTGTTATTTCACAACCACATGACCTTGGATAAATCATTTGATCTCCCTGGGCCTCAGTCTCCTCACCTATAAAATGCCATCCTCAGAACTATTATGAAGATTCAATACAATAATGTGAAAAAGTACTTGGCATCTGGTAGATTCACAACAAATATCATATTTTATTTTCCCTCTCTTCTTTCTACACGATTCTTAGTTCTGAAGGTCAAGTTTTATTTCACAGGAATTCTGCCCCGTTTTACCTGAGACTTCCAGGGAACTGGTCATTAATTAATCCACTGTCCAATTAACTCTGTGCTAGGAGAATGAATGGTAGCAGGAGAGAACCTGAGGCCACAATTCTCTGTTACATTTCACATTGTTGTAGTTGTTGAGAAATCTGTAAGTATTGCAGTCCTTTTTTAAGCTTTTAGAAAAGTGTATTCTTCAATGATTTTTAAATTGGCTTCCCATTAGTTCTTTGTATGACACCTTACAATTTTAAAGTACTTTTATTTTTTTTATTACTTTCATTTAGTTATTTTTCAAGTACAGTTTTTTTTGTCTATTTCTCCCATCTCAGCCTCCCCCGCCCTGTGCTCCCCACTTCCCTCCCATTTCCACCCCCCTTAGTTCTCATCACTGTGTCCTTCCTATTTGTTCCTCCAAATCCCTCCCCCTTTTACCCCTTAACTTCCCTTCCCTCTCCCCTCTGGTCACTGTCCCCTTGTTCTCTATTTCAGTGTCTTTGGTTTTTTTTTTCTTTTTTCTGCTTGCTTGTTTGTTTTGTTGTTTAGCTTCCTGTTAAAGGTGAGATCATACTTTACACCAGTCAGGATGGCCATCATAAACAAAGCAACAAACAACAAATGTTGGAGAGAGTGTGGAGAAAAGGGGTCCTTAGTTCACTGTTGGTGGGGTTGCAGACTGGTACAACCATTATGGAAAACAGTATGGAATTTTCTCAGAAAAATAAAAGTACTTTTAAAAATTTTATCTTATTTTGATTGGGGACCCACAATAATGTGATGAACTGAGACAGATGAGGAAGTGAATTTATGAGGAGAATGCCATTACGGAAAAGTCACATGACAGCTAGAAAATGCAGAATGGGGACCAAGGCCAACTTTGATGATTTAGTGCCAGTACCATTTCCGCCGCCCCATTCTGCCTCCTTTGTAAAATCTTATTCTTGGGAAAAGGATGGGTCCATTTCCTTTGAAGATGTAGAAAGAATTCTTGAGTCAGATATTCCTTTGAAATATGGTGAAAGATACATAGAATGATAACCAACAGTATGGAAGAAAAGTTAGTGGTACCCTTAGACATTTTGATTATCTACAATAATAATTACAAGTACAGATTGAAAAGAAACCATTCAGACCTATTTTGTAGGGATTTTGGTTGCAGCAGTGAAGGAGGGCATCAGAATGGAACCTACACTACCTCTCAACCTTGGCTTTCAACCCTGCCTCTCATCACTGCATTGAGGCAGCTGTGAAATGTCTGCTCCTTCCTTCCTTTGCCTAAACCCTTTACCTTTACTATTTGTTCCCAGAAAGACTGAAGGTGGCACTGGTTTCACCAAAGGAGAAGAAGAGAAAGACAAGGGAAATGAGAAAAGCACTGATAGTATGAAGCCACATCACCCTCTCACCTGGCTTACTGGGCTTTTCCTCTGCCTCCTTCCTTTTAGGACACGGGCCATTATGTTCCCACACCTTGGATCAGTGAGTCCCAGCTTTCTCAGATGACTGATGTCCTGACTGTTAGAATCAAAGAAATCCAGAAAAGATTCCCAACCTGGTCCCCTGACCAGTGCCTGAGAGGTAGGTGTAAACCTGGTGGTTTCACTGCATGGTATAATGGGGACAAATGTAATACTTTGTGCCAGATTCCCCCAAACCTCAGTTGCTTATGATAAGCATGAGGAAAGAGAATCTAAGTTAACTGCTGAGCATACTGAGGCAATGAGGGGCTGTGGGGTCAGCATTAACCTGTCTCACAAATTCCAGGTGGACTCTGTGCCTATGTCGGAGGTCCTGGCTACGTCAGAAGCAGCCAGGACCTGAGCTGTGACTTCTGCAATGATGTCCTTGCACGAGCCAAATATTTCAAGAGACATGGCTTCTAATACTTTAGATCAACTCCAACGTCATTCTCATACATGCGGCCTCTTCTGTTCCACAGATAAAACTAGCCAATGGGGCTTGTAACTGAGAATCTGAGTTTGACCTGAAGATTGTTAAAATAACATGGAACCCATTAAAAGGAGAATTATTCTCTGCATTTTGTGGTCTGATGTGTGTGTGTATAAGTTAAGAGTTGCATCTCTTTAAAGCTGTTTCCAAGGAGATGGGCTGTAATGTGGATTTCTGTGAAATGCATCTTATACCTCATTGACTAGCATTGCCAGATTTAGCAAATAAAAACACATAAAGCAGTTACATTTGAATTCCAGATAAATAATGAACAACTTTTTAGTGTAAGTGCCATGAAATATTTGGAAAACATTTGGGTATTTTACCTGGCAACAGTATCATTGATTTCTCTGATAAAAAAAAGTTTCAAATTTAATTGAAAAACTTGATGAAAAAAAGACCATGATGGTGGCCAGCCCCATCTGCTGAGCGGATTAGTCTCAGGAGAGACTCTTATTAACTTTACAGCATTATTTTAACCCTAAGGTAGTCTTTTTGTCACCTAAGTTTACCTCCTTTCCTTTTCTGGACCACAGAACCTGCTATACCCAACCTCTCCTAACTCAGCTAAAATATTCCCTTGTTTGGGGCACTCACCAAAAGAGCCAGGCCACAATGATTCATTTGTTGAAGCTGCCATGAAGGACACTGACCATGTCTTATACTGGTAAATTATTTAATTCTAGGATGTGTATTCTATAAAAGTAATCAATATCCCATTCTATCAACTGCATGATATCACTACAGAGTGTTGTCCTGGAACAATTGTCCTTTCAAACACTACTTTTTGAAGCAACTTGTATGTGCTCAGCACTATATCGGGGTCCCTGCCCTCAGGAACTGGTAAATCACAAAATTTAGTGGGTAATAGCAGCCAGTTAACTACACATGTGCAAAAGGTACAGAATCAGGCCTGTGCCAGGAGACAATGTGAGGATGTCACCTTCTGTGTCAGGGGCCTGTGGAACCTACTTATGACCACTGATGCTCTTGACCTTCTCCAGGGTTACTTCCTTCTTGGTCTCTCCACTCTCAGCCCTCCAAGACCCTCTCAAGGCTGAACCCAGTTGGGGGTTCCCACCAAGGAGAAAATGACAGAGAAGACTTCATGAACACATTCACTGGCACAAGGCAAAGAGACTGTGAGACACTGGTTAGGAGCCCACAGTGGAAACATTTGGGCGAATAAAGTCCTTCTGAAATCACAATCCTGAGCAGGCTCATGCAGCTCCCCCTATGAACATGTACACTCAGTAAGTGGGGGTCACTTGCTGCTGGTGACTGTCATCCTAAGAAAACATTTAGTTGAGGAAGGCTGACAAGGGGCGCTGTGACATCACTATGGGAGCTCTAACAAAGGCACAACTGATGTAGAGGCTGGTAAAATATAAAGGTATTAATTAAACAGCAATTAACCAACCCTTATCAAACACCTCCTGTATACCAGCCACTGTATTATGAACTTCAAGGGCATATCCTTGCTCATGAAGGCTCCTATTCTGGTTGGGATCCAGATATAGTAACACTTAGGGCACAATAAGCTAATTTTTGTAAAGAAGGGATAGATGAAAATTGGTGCAGGAGCTCTGGTGAAGAATTGAGGCCTGAGTTCATAGAAGAGGTAAGGGCATTTATTTGGTGCTGAATTGTCATACCAGCCCAGATGCACGATTCCACTGAACAGACAAAAAAGCTACCAACCAAAACTGTTAAAACGCTTGCTTAGTCACAGAGCTGGTAAGGGACTGAACCAGAGTCTCAATGCATTGCCACATGTATATAATTAAATGATGGTGTGTGTGTGTTGGGGGGTTAGGGTGACCAACTCTCCCAGATTGCCTGGAGTCGATGGGTTTTCTGGGACAGGGACCTTTCAAGGCTAAAACTGGGAAAGTTAAATGGGAACTTTCTGAGCAAGTCCCGATGAGTTGGCCACCTGAACTGGGCATCATCTTTTCTAGGAGGTATTTTAAAACCTGTGAGGGCAGTTTTCTTCTCTCCCTCCCTCTCTTTCCTTTGTTATGGCAGCAGTGCTTGAGGTGAGGGTGAAAGGTGGACATTACCCATATTTTGTGATGGGGCAAATGATGCTGAACATTTCGCAGTTTGTACTAGGGAGGCTGATTCCACCTAGTGAAAAACATGTATATGAAAGGATATTCATATGTATATATACACTTTAATGTATTAATTAATGTAACATACACCATATAAACTTCTCCTGAGTTAGCCTTTTGACTGCTTTACAACCCAGAAATATAATCTTTCAAAAGTCAGGAATCCATTCCTTTGAAATATAAACCTCTAGGGAGAAAGTGCTCCATGTCCCTGTCATTGTGGGAGTTTAGCTTCTAGGCATCTGCTTCTCCTAGAAATAAGAAAATTTTTGTTTTTCCTCTAATAAAGGTGAATTTAGCATAAACTATGAAAGAAAGTATAGCAGATGGTGCTGTTAAGTCTTCTCAAAGGAGAACAGGTTCATCTTGAGAACACACAAATATAATGACTAAAAATAGAGCAGTACAGCCCTGGCTGGTGTGGTCAGTGGATTGAGTGTTGGCTTGTGCACCAAAGGGTCACCAGTTCAATTCCCAGTCAGAGCACACGCCTGGGTTGCAGGGCCAGGTCCCCAGTACAGGTGCATGACAGGAAACCACACATTGATGTTTCTCTCCCTCTCTTTCTCCCTTCCCTTCTGTCTAAAAATAAGTAAATAAAATCTTTAAAAAATAGAGCAATATAAAAGAATTGCACCTTCTTGGCTGTATAAATAGGGTAGACTTTCTGTCTTTATAACTTCTTGGCAAGTGATCAACCATGACCCTGGTACTCTGGCTTATGATTATTCAATAAAGAACTTTTTTTCTTTAAAAAAAGATTTTATTTATTTTTAGAGAAAGAGGAAGGGAGGGAGAGAGAGAGAGGGAGGGAAACATTGATGTGACAGAGAAACATCTATCCATTCCGACCAAATCCATAGCCCAGGCATGTGCAGTGACCAGGAATTGAACTAGTGATCTTTTTTTTAATTTTTAAAAATATTTTATTGATTATGCCATTACAGTTGTTCTATTCCCCCCTTCATTCCCCTCCACCCTGCACACCCCCTCCCCCACCATTCCCCCCTTTAGTTTATGACCACGTGTCTTAAGTTCTTTAGATTCTATATTTCCCCTACTAATCTTGCCCTCCCCCTATCTATTTTCTACCTACCGTCTATGCTACTTATTTTCTGTAATTTCTCCCCCACTCTCCTCCTCCCACTCCCCTGTTGCTAACCCTCCATGTGATCTTCATTTCTATGGTTCTGCTTTTGATCTAGCTGTCCTCTTTGCTTTTGTTTTAGGTGTGCAAACTGGTGATCTTTTGCTTTGTAGGATAACACCCAACTAACTGAGCCACACCAGTCAGGGCAAAACTGCTTTCTTTTTCATGTTTAATTCCTTATAATACTAGAAGGAAGAATATTTGGTTAAAGATCACAGAATTCATGCTGACAGCTGTTATGTAGGGAACTAGTGTCCAATCTTAATCGTGTCAAAGGTTTATCTTTTCTTTTTAAAGTACCAGCTTTTTATCAAGGTGCCAGAGATTTCTTTGTAGAGATTGTAAACTATGTCACACAAATTGTCCCATAGTGGGGTTTTAGAGGGAGCAAAATTATATGCATGTGTTCAACCCACCATCTTCACTTGGAATCCTGGCTCTTGACCACCATGTAATGACATGTTAGGTAAAACTTGAAGAATGAACAGGAGTTTGCCAGGAAATAATAAGGATAAGGATGTTAGGGAAGATATAAGTAAAGGCATGGTAGCTTGAAAAGGCATGTGCTTCCTGAAGAAAGCGGGTGAATGCATGTTACTGGAGCCTGAATTGCAAAAAACAGAGGAAAATTTGGCAGATTAGAATGGTTAGGCAGGATCCAGATTATGAACCAGAACTTCAGGATATGCCAAGAATCCTAGAAACTGTCCCATGGGTAAAACGGAGTCATTGAAGGATTTAGAGGCTTGGATATGATCAGATTTGCTGATTAGAAAAGTCACTCCTGTAACTGTGGGGAGGGCAGATGGCACAAATACAAGCTTGGAGGCATGAAGATAGGTGAAGAGACTTGTTTACAGGGCTTAAAACAAAAAATGGCAGAGGAAATAGGAAGGACAACGTGAGTGGGAAAGAGACTTGGGAGACAGCACTGACATACTGGCAACTGGGTTATGTGACAACTCTTACCTACAAAAATAATTGGTATTAGCAAAAAAGTTTTACCTTCAGTCAAGGAACTTTTCTTTCTATTGATGTGAACTTTGGAAAGTTTAAACATTCTATTGAGAGTCTAGGATTTTCTCATTGAAAAAAACTTTCAACCAGAATTCCTCGCTTCTGCTGTTAATATAATACCTAGAACTTGATTGATAGATTCAGGTGTGGATCACTGTGGCAGACAGATGCCAAGATGCCCTCCTCCTGGTACTCATGCTCTTGTGTAATTTCCTCCCCTTGAGTGTGGGTGGGGACTGTGACTTGCTTTGAACTAATGGAAAAGATGATGGGATGTCACTTCAGTGATGGCATTACACAAGACTGTAACTTCTATTGTGCTAGCCAGCCCTCACCCATGCTGGCTCTGATGAAACTAAGTGCCATGTTAGGGAAGGCCATGTGGCAAAGAACTGAGGGAGGCCTCTGGCCAACCGTCAGCTAGGAACTGAGCCCTTAGCCCACAACTCAAAGGAACTTAATTCTACCACCCAGCATGTAAGTGAGCTGGGAAGCAGGTCCTTCCATTTTCACACTTACAGATGAGACCCAGCCCTGGTTGACACCTTTGTTGTAATCTTGTGAGAGACACTGAAGCAGAGAATGCAGCCGGGTTGTGCCTGGGCTGTGACTCACCACAGAAACTGTGAAATAACTATGTTTGTTTTAA